GATTCTAATTTCGTACCTATTGCTTGTTTCTTAGGGTTTCGTATCTCTAGATGTATATTGAAATTATTCATATATCCGATCTATTCTATCGTGCAGCGAGTCGGTGTTTCTGAGGTTACTTTGGCAGTTGTCAGTCAACTCGGGGCCAAGCTCGCGAGTACGAATCGAGGCCAAGACTCGGAAGTGACAGTTGGCAGTTGTTTCTTGTCAGTGGCAGTTGCTCTTTTTAGGTCCAGCAATGGCACGTGTCAAGAACACCAGAGGTGGTCCAAGTGATGAGAATCCGAGGCCTCTGCCTCGCTTGCCTGCTGAGGTGAAAGGCAAGGGGACAAAGAAGACTACATCAAAGAAGCAGAAATTTGCAGATGCTGATACAGCAAGAGCAGCAGCAGCCGCCGAAGAGCGTGCAGAGAGAGGAGGTGCTTGGAGTGGTGTTGTCATTGCAGATCAGCTTTCACCAGCACAGAGTGCAGCCATTGAGCAGGTTGAGCGTCGTCATGGTAGTCCAGCTAGGACTGTCATGCTTGAGGGATGGCGTGTTGTTTTGGAGGAGACTCGGCCTCAGGGGGAACCACAGCAGCAGACACAGCCACCAGTGCAGTCAGAGGGTGCTGAGTAGACTCAGGAGGGAGAACAAATAGAGGAGACAGAGCAAGCACCTCAGCCACTATTACGCCGCTCTAATCGTACTCGTACCTAGGTGACACCGAGGCCAGAGACACAGAGGGGTTCTCGTCTGCCTCCTAGACCACAGGGTCCGCCTCTAGTGACTCACCTGGACTTGAGGGCTACCACGGCTAAGCAGGTGCAGCAGCTCAGGTTTGTTCAGTTCGAGGACTGGTTCCCACCGAGGAGGGATGAGCGTGCTTTAGAGGGTTTCTATACACCGCTGTAGGAGGACTTCTACAATGCTTATATGAACAGTGGTGTAGCTTTTAGATCTCAGAGGGTTTGCTCTATTGAGGCCATTGTAGCAGCAGCTGGTGAGCAGATCCGCCCTCACCTCTCTTACTTGCCAGGGCTAACAGACTTACTTGGATGGATAGGCAGATATGTTCCATTTTGGGTCTGTGAGTTCTACGCTACACTTTGGATTAACCCAGCTCATAGGTTCATACACTTTGTATTCAGAGGCTGTGACTACAGGCTGATGAGCTTCAGGGTCAGAGAGATTCTCAGGTTATAGGAGTCAGCCATCTGTCTTCACGAGGTTTGCAATGGACACACAAAGCCTCCTAGACGCCCTCACGGTGGTCTCGTGCCTCCCACAGATCTCATCCGACCTTGCTTCACAGAGCCATTTGGCGAGGGGTCGAGCAGGATACCTAGGGATCTTACTCCTATAGCTAGACTGCTTGATGCTATCATGAGGAGGACCCTGCTACTGAGGATGGGATATAGCGAGGGATTGACTCGCATTCAGTTGTGACTACTGAACTCCCTGATCCAGCAGACAATATTTGATATATGGGATCTCATTCTTTCTGAGATGGAGGATACACTTGCAGAGGGATTCCGAGGACACAGGCAGCTGCCGTATGCTCACTGGATCACATTTTTTATTCACAGGGCAGTCACAGTGAGGCCTCTTGAGATGTTGGTAGAGTATTCTGGTGCTACTACAGAGTTTCCAGCATATAACATGACTCAGATGCTCCGCCATAGTGCAGCGAGGACACCTAGCCAGTCGTGTCGTCGCCCAGAGGTGACATGACATTATCAGGGGCGTAGTAGCTACAGAGGAGGAGGAGCTAGATGCTTAGCATGAGGGTATGGTCGAGAGCGACCCCAGCGACAGTTCAGATGATGACTACCAAGATATCCCTCAGATGCCTCCATGACAACATGACGGTAAGGCCAGTGGCTCCAGCTCAGCTCCACAGGCACCGCAGACAGACCCCGCTCTTCTTGCTATACTTGAGCGGATGAGGTAGGAATAGGCTCGCCAAGCCCAGGAGACTGCAACTGCTCTAGCATAGGTTCAGGCTAGACAGGACGAGTTCCAGCGACAGCAGCAGGCTATCAAGTAGCAGCAGCTCCTCATGCAGCATGTTGTCTCTGCTATTGGGGCTCTACCGCCACAGCTTACACCTCAGCTCGGCCAGCCTGCCACCACTACAGTGACTTCAGGTTTTCAGCCTAGTGGGCTTTAGAGTCAGGGATAGCCAACTACCATGTTCGCTTCACCTACAGAGCAGGTGTCCTAATGGTTTGCTTCACCAGTGCCAGCCCAGGGTCTTTCTTTCACACCTTTACATACGGGCTTCACACCGGCTCAGACTTCGTCGATGCTTGTGACTGATACCCCAGTTTTCAGGAGCCTTGATGCTACCTTCAATGAGTTGACAAGGCAGCCTACACCACCAGATCTACGTGTCTCTGGTCCTTCCACAGTTGCTCCTATTACTGGGACTACAGAGACGCTTCCATCATCAGTTGCATCATCAGAGCCACCTGCTACAGTCATACCTACAGAGCCACAGGCCGCACCAGTCCCAGGTCCGACCCAGACCGCTTCAGCGTCACTTCCAGCGACAGAGGGTCAGACTGCTCAGAGCTCAGGATCAGATGATGATGCTACCCAGTTTCAGATCGCTTACCGCGCCTCAGCGCCCGACTCGTCTGCTCCAGCCCCGTCGACCGACCCTTAGGTTTTGGTGTTTGACGCCAAAGGAGGAGAGGGATCGAGTATGAGAGACTTAGGGGGAGCGATATATCTAGGGAGAGCTTATCTATTACATTTGGTTTTTTTATATTATCCTCTTGACTGGCCGGATTGAATTCCAATGTAATGCCACAGAATCGAATCTTTTGTCTGCTGGCTACTACTCATGGGAAAAACTCATACTGAGGTATTTCCTACAATTCTGGATATGAAAGTGATATATTGTCGATGTTTATTGAATTATATCCAAAAATAACCTAGGAAGAAGTCCATTTTTGACCCTTGAAGTATTGCCTGAATTCGATTTTGGCCATCAAACTCCAAAATCAGACAACTTCATTGAACTATCAATATCTTGCACTTTAGGCCTAAGATCATTCTACACCATTTTGCACCACATCACCATGGTTTTGCGTTTGCACATATCTAGAGATGAAAGTTTTACTTTTCTATGGGCAATTGGTTCGACCCAAAACACATCAAAATGAATTAGTCTAGATTTCAAAGCAAGAAAAGGGAAAGGAAATACCCATTGGGTACCCACATGTATCCCTACGGCATATCACCAGCCACGTCGAGTCCATGACAGTGTCTTCTTCCCCATCTCTCTTTTCCACCCTCTTCGGTGAGCGACACTGCTCTCCTACTCCCAGGCACCCAACGGTGGTATGCTGCTATCATCATCATCGCAGAAGTGTACACATGAAGGGCCATGGACACTAATGCCATGCCCATGCTGCTGACAGCGGTCTGGCGGAGGACTAGACCGAGACATAAGGATTCTGTCCTGGCATCCGGGCAGCACATATCCACAGCAAGCGCTTACAAAACTGAAAAACAGATGTGAATTAATTCCATCTAAGCACGAAGCAAGCAAGAATTCAGGGAGCAAATATTTCTTGACCAGATCTGTCTAGAATCTTGAGCAGTGAGCTCTGCTCCTCCTAAAATCTTCCTTCACTTCATCCCCATATCCAACTCTACCATCAATCCTTTTGCAAAATCAGTAGCCAAATCATGTTCTTATTGTATTCACTGTACCGTAAGTGCCCTTCACATTTCTGAACTATTGCTTTAGCTGCCGGAGTCATCAGCTGCATCAGCGTTTTTTTGTCCGCCATGCACTCTGTGTCGCCCTGCTCGATCTCTTCCTCTGATGTGCCTCTAATCTTTTATCACATCAGAACCTGTGCCTCGCTGCCTTGTGGACTGCATGTGCCGCTCAGCAAATCAGCTGCCATATGAACACTGTGTAGGAGTAAAACCACCTTTTTGATTAGACTAGAGATCTAAAGATGTCAGTTTGAATAGTTTGAGAGCTCAAGCTGTCTGGTATTTGAGTTCAAGTGTCGAAATCAGATTGTCGTGAATCATGATATTTCTATGGCTAAAAGTAGTTTTCTACTATGTTTCCTTTTCACATTTTGTAGTTTTGTTACTGCAGATTTTCCTCAGGACATCTGCACCTAGGAGTTGTTATTACGTAATCACTAGCTCATTGTATATCAATCGCCAGCTCAGTTATTAATCTAAGCATATTCTTGCTGCAGGCAACCATCTGATATTGGCAAGACCGCTGTGCAGTACAAATCAGAGAGAAGAGCAGCAATGGAAGCGGAAGGTTTCAAGATACTTGGGAACTCAGGGGACCAGTGGAGTGATTTGATAGGATCGCCAATGGCAACGAGATCCTTCAAGCTCCCAAACCCAATGTACTTCATCAGCTGATTTTATTGTTAGAGCAGTGAAGGAGCAGGTTTTCGTAGGCCGTTCATGGCATCGTTATGGTCTCGCTCTGAAACTGCTTTTGTTAGACATCACTCTGGACATAAATTTGGATTTTATCTTCAAGCATGTTGAAATTCAACTGGGGCTTGGGGCCATTGAATCTGCCCTTTGATGATTTGTAATTACACATCTTTTCCCACACTATTGGAAGCATTTGTGGTAATGCAAATTTTAAAGGCTCTTGGTTCAAATCTGAAGCAGATGAAATTTCAGTTATGTTTTAAAATTTGTGTACATTCAGATATAATGTTTGTTCTTTTGGCAATTTTTGTATCGTTTTTCTGTAGGATTTACAGTGGAACCAAATGATAGATATTGTATTGTTGTTGAGTGTTGACCCAGATTATGCCTTTAGCAGCCATATCAGTTCACCTTTAGACCAGTCAAGCGGAGACACAGGATTTATCACTATTGACATGAGAAGTAAACAGAAAAACTGAAAACTTCAATCGCAGAAAGCTCTACTGACGAAGGAAGATAGGGAGGCCACCAATCGATGGTACTCTAACTCATGCAGAAGTACTTATTACATTTGCGTGAGCGTGACCTAGCATCTGTACAGCTTGCCCTGGCATTCAGACGCAGCTAGTTTCCTCCCCCTCGGCTCTTTCTTTGCTACTGTCTTTGACAACCTGTTCTTCACACCCAGCGTTGCAGCGTGACGTCTGGACGCCTTCGGCCTCCTGATGTACGGGGTGGTCTTCTTTGCGAGGTCCTCCACGCAGATGACATCGGCTAGCGATGTGAAGGACTCGGACCTCCCCTGGTAGTACTTAGATAGCCCTGTTCTGAGGAAGTGTGGTTTAACTGTCAGAGATCATGTTGCAGGCATGAACAGCCACGAAGCAAGATATTCAGACTAGTTTCAGTTTGCTAGCACTTTGCAACTTGATGATGGTCAATAGAATTTGCGGTCATCTTGCTCAAACTGTTTCATTTGGACTCGTTTTTGCATAGGAATTGGTGTAGTTTCAGTTGCTGCACATAGGTAGGTGTGCGTGATCGAGTTCAAACCTATATATTTACATGAGCTCTGAAGGAAATCTGAAGACTGAATATTGATCAGAAATCCGTTTCATTTTGTTAAACAGCTATTGCATTTTTTTTCAATTCACCTATTTTCACTTCTCCATCGATCTATAGCAAAGCACTGCTTATATGATCATCTAGATCGTAGATTTGAGGCGCGCGTGTACCTGAGAGCCGGGAGATGATCCTGCATCGTCAACATCCCGTAGAGCGGCCCGCCGGCGGCCCCGTTCATCTGCGACGCTTCCGACTCTGACGACGTCGAGGAGGACAATGAAGACAAGGACGAGAAGTGACGACGACCCACCGGTCGGGACGACGACGTCGCGCCGTCTCCGTCCTCCTCTCCGTCACCCACGCTCCACGTCGTCGTCGATGAGAAGAGCGAAGACGACGACCCGCTGGCGGACGCCGTCCCGATCCCCGACGACCCTGTACTCCCGGATACCCAACAACCTCCGGTGGCGCAGGCGCAGCCGTCCTCCCCTCCTGCGTGGAGCGCCACGGCGGCCTCGGAAGCCTCCCCCATCATTCGAATTCGAAGCGGCGGTGTTAGCTAGGATCGGAATATATCTTGCAACGCACGGATCCGACTAGGGGTTCGTGCGTCAATTTATATGCGCGGCTCCTCAGAAGGGGAGGAGGCGGCGGCGGCGGCGATCATGGGCTGGATTGCATGCTGTGTTCGGGTAACCGCAAATATGGCAAGGGGAGAGGGTGGAGGGAGTGGATATGCATGCATCGCATGCTGTATACGTTTCCGTGGGCGGGAGCGTGGATATACTTTCCTACCTCTTAATATATATTCCAAAAAAAACTAGGCTAATACGTTTCCTTTCCCTCTCTCTCATCTCCGGATAGGGCTTAGCGTCCTGGCAACCTGATCGTCAACTCCATGGACGACGGATCGGCTGCGTCGGGCGCCTCGCTGAAATTTTGAAATTTTGATTTTGAATTGAAAAAAAAAGGTGGTTCCATCAGATGCCCAACACGATCATCCACCGCCTCCGCGCCCTCCGGAAACACGGATCCAACCGCACGGTTTTTCTTCTCCAGTTTGTAATGGTCAATATATGCCAGGCTGTATTACGAACTAGTGGACAACTGGACATGCACCTATGGTGCATACGTGCCTATCTAAAAATTTTCTTTTACCATAGATGAGCGACTATCATTTTTTTCTCCAGAAGTCAAATTTAAATATTCAATCCATATAATGAGTTCCATGATTAATACCAATAATCTCTTCTCTACACCTAAAAAAAACTCTAAAGTAATCATTTATCTGGTGATACCAAAAACGTATAGTATCCGGTCACAAAGACTGCCGACAGAATATCGTCGGCAATCCTCCGAGGGGTATCCCGTGAAGGTAGATCGATCGGCAGTGGTGCGCGTAATCAAGAACAAAAAAAGGCAATAGAGACACAAGAGTTAGACAGGTTCGGACCGTCAGCACGACGTAATACCCTACTCCTGTAGTCTGTGGGTTTGTATGGCTATCATATGATATTACGTGTGTTTTGAGGGGTCCCCTACTCGCCTTATATAGCCAGGGATAGGGTTACAAGTTGGTTAGATTTAGGAGATAACCGGTAAGTAATAACAGATTACAGAAATCATGGTATCGAACATATCCTAACAGATCTCGTAGCATCTTCAAGATATCGCCCTTAACGTCTTGTGGGGCTCGCCGAGCAGCGTCGTGCTCCGCAAGGCTTCGTCTTGTGGGCTAGACCACCCCTGGCGGCGTAGCCCATGTAGTCTGCCGTCGGTATCCGGGGTCGTACCCCGCACAGGTAGTCCCCGAGCGCCTTGCATCTGTTGTGCAACGCCGTCTTGAGCTTACCCGAGCAGGTGTAAACAAAGCTGAGCAGTCAGACTCATGGTCCGACCACCCTAATGAGTCGCTGAGCAGTTATGGACCGTAACCGACCAGCTTAACTGTCCGGCCGAGCACGGACTTACCCAAGTAAGGCTTGCCAGAAGGATGTAAGGAGCTCAAGTTCAAAATCGAAAATTTCCTCGCTGTGAACCAAGTGTGCTCACTTAGAATACGACCACGAGAAATGGAGATAATCTTCTTCAACTTCAGGAGGAACGGAGTCTTTCAGATTAAAGAAAACACACTCACCGCAAGGTGAAGTGTGCCAACTTAGTCCCCAAGCCTGACAGTAGGTGACGTGGTCACGTGGTGCCAGAGTTCAGAAAGTAGAAGAAAGACAGAAGACCAGCCGAACAGGCAACCAGTCCACGGGCTAAGCCCTAAAATGAAAAGTGCACATTCACCATAAAGTGAAGTGTGCACACTTAGTCCCCGAGCCTGATAGTAGGTGACATGGTCACGTGGTGTCAGGGTCAGAAACAATAGTAACCAAAAACTCCACTAGTATGGTGAGAAACCGAATCATAATGATGACGTAGTCCCCGAGCCACAAGTGAAAATCTCGGATAAATCAAGAAGTGCCGATTACTCAAATCGTGGAGAAAAAATCGAAGCAATGACTGTATAGTAGAAATTTCTTAGCCTTAATGTTATTGCGAAGAGGTCGACGAATATTCGGTGTGCAGTACCAAGTTGCGTCGTGTAACACCCCTGGTGTTAGGCTTGCATAATTGCACTTGCATTTCATGAACATGAGCATCATTCATCCATTCATTAGCTTATATCACATGAAACATGTTATCGAAACATTGCAACATGCTGTACATTTCATGAGTGTTGTTTTAAATTATGAAATGAATAGTGTGCAGCACCCAAGTACAACATGTGCAACTCACTTTAGTGGAACATAGCTAGTTAGTACGATGCAACAAGATCATGAAACATGTGAAACATGACTATGAAACAAAAGTAACATTTCAATTATTTTTCATTGTTTCAGTACATTCCGTGCTTGATTCTTGTGTGATCAATGTGTGGTATGGCTAAATATATTTTTAAACAACTTAGCTATACTTAGAAGGTCATTAGGAACAATGTTCATGTTGATCATTTTGCCTAATTAAGTTTTCAAGTCATGGTTTGACTAGTGTTGACCTCTAGAGCTCATTGGTTTGACTGTTTAAAAAGTGCAACTTAGAGTCTATGCATGCCTGAGCAACCTAAAGCAAAGTTGTAGCAAATTTTATAAGGAACAAAAGTTATTTTATGACCAACTCATGAAAATATGCACAGCATGCTCAAAAAGGTCTCACAGGTCAGTTTTGGGGGCAATTTGGTGACTTAGAATTTTTCTAAGTTTCGAGACTGGTTTTCAGTTTCTTGTACCGATGTTTGGAGCCCTATATCTCCCTAACCAGGCCGAACCAGCTCGAGCTCCAATTGTAAAAGTTGTAGCCCGCATATAGATCTACAACTTTGTCAACTACACCATTAGCTAGATCGTCACGGTTTAGGAGTTATAGATCAACGAAATCTCGTTGTCAGTCGTCGGTGGGGTGAACTGAATGGAAGCTACAGTGGCCGACCGTTTCAGAGTTTCATCGCCGCGTGGCGCCACCCATCGCCGGCCGCCTGACCGCACAAGCCACGCGTCGCCGCCGTCCTGGTGCTGCTGGCCATGTCTTGAACTCGCGCCCGCCATTTCATTTTCCCTTTCTCCGCTCACATGAAGCTCCGCAGCAGCAGCTCCGTCGTCGCCTAGCTTGCTCGTCGCCGCAAAAACGCGAACTACATCTTCACCACAGCTCCGCCGTGTTCTCCTCTACCTCCTCCATCTCTTAGCTGAGCCGATTGAACTTTGGTAAGGGCGCATTGTCCATTCCCGCCACCGCCGCCATGGGCGTGTCCTTGCCAGAGTTGAGGCCGTCGTGGTCGGGGTAGCTGGGAACCCTTCCGTCCTCTTCTTTTTGTTTGGGTACCATCGTGGTGACCTCCTGAAGCTCATATCGAGCTTAGCCGTGTCCCACAGGGCCGAACCTCGCCGGAGCACCGTCGCACTGCGCCGCCGTCCACCATGCACGCCGTCGTCCTTGCTAGGGTTCGGTAGAGGTTGAAATGAGGGCATGAATGGGTGCGCATCGTTGTAGGGAGCACGCTGGTGCCGTCGGTTTCACCGGAGGAGCCGCCGTCGGCGAGCTTCACCGTGGCCGCGCCGTCGCGTGCGCCTCCCCTATTTTTGTCTCACTGACAAGCGGGTCCGGCTGACACGCGGGTCCCACGCGTCAGTGACAGTGTAGTGATAGGCTAGTTCAAATTTACAGATTTCTATGCTGTTTTGTGAATTTTGTAACTACAAATGTGTAGATCCAAATGGTGTGATTCAAATTTTGTTAGACTCACAGGGAAGTCTAGTATTTAATAAAAATATGACATGAGCACATGATATAGAAATTTTGGATGAATTAAATAGGAAACTAAAATATGTTTTTAAATGCATGCAAACTTGTTTAAATTATATGTTGAGTTTCTGTGGTCCAAAAATTATAAAATTTTGTGGGTAAGCTAGTCTTGCTTAGTAGAAGCTCTATTAAAAATTTGAGAGTCATTGCATGTGTGGTTTTTGAGTTATAGATTTTCCTTTCATCATTGATTGATACTTGTGTGAATTTTTGTAAATTATCTAGGAATCCTATGACCATGAAATTTTGTGGGGAGTATCCCAGTACCTTAAGGATGTTAGAAAAAATATGAAATCTATTGCTTGGCACTTTTAACTAAGGTTTTCTATGTATGCCTTTTTAAGCACTTATGTCATGTCATTTTTGTGTAGGCTATTTTACTTATCCAAATGCCATGAAAATTTTATGATAGTCTACTTAGAGTAGTACTATGCTACTGTAATTTTCTTAGATTTTTATGAGCACCAGAAATATATGTTGTTGTGTAGCCCTAGTTTAAAATGAAATCAAATGATCTTCTTTAATGCGAGTTTAGTTAATAATGTTCGCTTTGGTGTATCTTTGAAGCATCTTAGTTTGTTGTGGTGATTTGGCATGTTAGTACAGTGGTTGTCGTAGTAGATAGTAGTACATGTTCTTGGATGATGTCGACTACCTTGTAGAAGAGCGTTGCTACTACTATGTCCAATAAAGTTAAACATGTTTATCTACATTTCATGCATCATGATCATTTTATGTCATCTCTCCGATGCACCTATGCATCATACACAGGAGGAGTTGCTAGTAACAGTTCAGGAAGAGTAGACCGAGATAGATCCACAAGAAGTCCAGGCACAGGAGGTGCCAGAGGAAGAGGAGCAAGGAGAAGACTTGCCCGAGTGCGTGGATCATCATTCTAGTTCGTTCGAACAAGGCAAGCTTCGGAGCATTCTAAGTCTCGTAATTTACAAAAACAATTCTTTCTATATATATGAGTTATATATTGTTGCATTAAGTTGTAGGAGTTGATTGAAACCGTTGATGCATTTATTACTATCCTTGCCTACCTTATTACCTTTACCCTGTTAGGTCAGGATCGAATAACTGCTTAGCCTTGCTTAGACCGGTAGCGATCGGTGATATCCGGTCACCTACATTATAGGTGGTTACTGAAAGAATTTAGCTATGGAAAGAATGATATCCTAGAAT